GTGCGCGCACGTGCAGCGCACACAGCAGCACCTCCCCACACCCCACCCACCCCGTCGCGCCGCCGCCGCCGCCCCCGCCGCCGCCGCCGCCCCCGCTGTAGGTGTAGCGTTTGGGGGGGCGACTGGCGACGGCAAAAATGCAAGCCCCGCCCCTGGCCACTGTGTATTTGAGGCGGTGGCCGGTGCCGAGCGCAGGCAGTGCCCACAGGTCGGAGCTCGGACCTTAAGACAGCCTTGTAGATCCCTGGGAGAGGGTGGTGGAGAGCTGTCACTGTGCTGTGTTAGTGCCAGTGCGCGCCAGTCCCGAGTCCCGTGCCCCCCGAGTACCTGTGCGAACACAGGATCTTGGAGGACGATCTCAAGGATTGAGAAAGAGAGAGAAGGGGCGGGGGGGGGGGGGGAGAAGCAGAAGCAGAAGACGACGACGGCGACGACGACGACGAAGACGAAGAAGAAGAGAGGGAGAAGGGGAAGGAGGAACGATAAAGGGTCCACTGTGAAGGCGTTTATGTGAGCTTGATCGTCTTGGTGCCGGGGTTGTGTTTTTGTGTGAAGGCGCCGTTCCAGATCGCGCATGTATGTGCTGCCTATCTTGCAAGACTGGCGCTGGAAGCCGAGCGGGGCTCTGACTGGCCACATGTTCGGCAAACGCGGATACCGCGACGGCACGCTCCTTACCACGTCCGTTGTGCCGCCTAAAGGCCGCTTCAACGCACCGGCAAATGCGGTCGCCGAGGACGAGGCGCGAACTCGCGAGGCGGCAAAGAGGCAGAAGACTGAGGCGGAGAAGCGGATCGTAGCGGAGCGCTGCCCGATCTGCTGGGACTCGCCGCCCGACCAGCTTGTCACCGCGCCGTGCGGCCACACCTTTTGCCGCTCGTGCATCATGGCCGCGCTCGTCATCCGGAAAGAGTGCCCCTGTTGCCGCGAGTCCCTCAGCTCCCACCGCGCCCTAACTCACCGGAGTGATCCCGAGGTTGTCCCTCGCCACCCGGAAGCGACCGAGTTGCAGCCCACAGCCGGCGAGGCGCGGCAGTCCGCAGCCGGCGAGGCGCGGCAGCGTGACGCAGGCGAGGTGCGACAGTGCGGCACCCCAGGGTGCTTCCTGGCCGCGTTCCACGCCGGGCCTTGCGTGCCGGAGGCCGTCTGGACTCCGCGCATGCGGACCGCGCCCGTGCGGTTGCAGGGAGGCGAGGGGGGGGGCTTGGCGACGGCC